CATTTGTCATAATTATTTTTGTTCTAGCTTTTGCCCCAACAATACTAACATTTATAAAACAGATTGTCTCCACCAGGTTACAAGCCCTACTTGTCCTCGGGAAATACCACTCCTAGACACCATCACAACTTCATTTTGTGCCCAGGCCTCATCGTCCCTCTGACAGAGAGCAAGGATTTTTGGCTCTGAAGGAAAACATCACCTCCTTTCAGCAGGAAGCAGTTACAGAAGAGACCCTGTGCCCCCCCTTTCCCCCTGAAAGAATTCAGCCAAAAATCTTTGAGGAGGGAAATGTTAGGCATCCCCCTACCTAAATGTTAGACCTTCCCCCACTCCCTGACACTAGAGCAAGGATGATGGGCTAGGTACAGAAACTCATCAGGGAAGAAAGCTCCAGATGCCTAGCAAGGGGAAAAACTAGGAAAACAAGAAACTTACCCCCAGGGGTAACCTACCTCCCCTTTCATATCACTAGTCAAGCAGTTTAGACTCCCTGAGTAACATCTCTAGATGTTATCTCTTCTTCCCTGAAGATAACATCTAGGCCTCAGTTGTATTTCAGCTCCAGGCCCAGAAAAGCAGCAAAACCAGACAAGTGACACTGTGGCTGCCCCAGGATCACTTTTTACTGGTACCTCCCAAGTCACTCATCAGGACTGTTTTCCGGTCTTCACCAACCAGTTTCTCAGGAAAATCATGCTGCTTCAACACCCCCACTCCAACCATGAGGAGTCTACACAGTGTTCTAGCCAACTATAATCAAAGTCCATCCCCCTACGATCTCGATGTCCCCTCAGCAGGAAGTAACTATGAAAGATATGACCTCCATCCCTATTCCATAAACCAAAAAGGCTAGAATGTTAGGTCTGATTAAGTCATTGAATCAATACCTCCTCCCCTGGGAACTGACCTTTAAGACCACACTCCATTTGCTAAGATCAGTATCTTTCTCCTTCAGACTTTCCTGGAATCTGGACCTGCCCAGAGAATTCCCTGCTGAAAAAGCCTGCCTACAGTCCTTTAAAATCTCTGACTCCCCATCCCTGGGTATTGGCGCCATTTCGGGGTTCAGCCCATCTGGTTTACAGATTACCTAATCTATAATAATAAAAGCATAATATGTTAATTAAACCAGACAGTCGAACGACCTTACAGACTCCTTCTGGACGACCTTCCAGATGAACCCGGAGCTGCTAGGGCCGAGGCAAGCCACCGTGGCTGCTAGGGCCAAGCCCCTTGCATGAATTTCGTGCACTGGACCTCTAGTAAATTTATAATTCTTTACCTCTTTGACCTTGTGCATTCCTCCTTCAGTGACCCTAACAACGATGTTCTTTAAAAACAAAATGAACCAGAAAATAACCCCTGACCACCCCCCCATGCACATTTTGCTGAATCAACATATTGAAGGACACACCTGAAAAGCTAATGAATGTTCTGTTAAGACCTTCCCCTGAGACCTCCCCTAGGAGTCCAGCCTTCCAAAGAGAGATAAAAAGTCTCAAGACTAAGGATCCAGCTCATGCTCTCTTGTTAGAGCACACCCACACCTTCTTATCTCCACTGTTTTTCTCCGAAATTCTAAGGGACCCCAGGAAATGTGAAACCTGGGGAGCAGTGGACAGTGGCAGCTCATCCTGGGCTTACTCTCTGAACCTGTCCCCAAGACTCCTTATTCTCTAACTTCCTCTCTCCTGTTGCTTCTTCTACCTTAAGTCCTGTCTTTATTTCACTGTCCCCAGATTTAATGAACTTACTCTCAAAAAAACCTAGACTTGTGTTGTGATATTTTTTCTACACGAAGTTAAGAACCCACACACTACCAGTCGGCCCATGGTAGCCTGGCTCTGGGCCCGACCCCGTCCTGTAACTCTATTGTTCTTCAAGAAAGGGAAAGAATGACCCCAAAGACAATTCAGAGGTGATCAGGGCTGCCCCATTGACTTCAAAGTTAGAATCACTTCCTTGGTTTCAACAGGGCAGAGGGTCCCCACAGGGAGATGAAGGTACCGTGTCACCCAGCTGAGCCATGGAGGTGACGCTGCCACCCCATGTTCTGGAGGGCAGAACATCTAATCTAATCACTATGCTGAAACTCATACAAAATAATACTGAATGTAAACTGTAACTGAAAAATAGAATTTAAAAAAAATTGAACCCAAAAGAGACAAAAATGATCTAACGAAGGGTTGCCTTGCTGGATGTTGAACGTGCTTAGAACCCATCACTCTTGTCTTTCCGATGTTTCCCTTTCAGAACAGGAATATCTCTCCTACATCTGCTGCAGTGGTGCATTTTGGAACTTGTCTCAGTCACGGGTTCATGACTGCAGAGGGATTCTTCCTTAAAAGGAGTCCTATCCCGAGTCTCACTCATGCCTGACGTAGACAATAGGTAGATGAGACTTTGAATTTTCAACTGGATAAATGATGCTGGAAAGAGTGGAGATTTGGATCACTATAGAGCTGGAATGAATGTATTTTGCGTGGAAGAAGGACACAAAATTGGGGAGCGGGGGCGCTCAGAATGTTGTGGACTGAATGTTGATGTCCCCCCCTCCTCAAAATTCATGGTAAAGCCCTTAAACCCCCTGTGGTTGTATATGGAGATAAGGCCTCTGAAGAAGTAATTAGGGTTCAATGAGATCATAAGGCTGGGACCCTGATCAGATATGTTAGTGTCCTTAAAAGTGGAAGCACACCAGGGCTCGCTCTCTCTCCCTCTCCCCTTCACACACACGCCAAGGAAAGACCATGTAAGCAGAGGCAAGAAGGCGCCATTCATACCCAAGGAGAGAGGCCATAGAGTACACCAACACTCCTGGCACCTTGATCTGAGACTTGCAACCTCCAGAACAGCGGGAGAATGGATTTCTGTTGTTTTCTGCTCTGCCCAGACTGTGGTCCTTTGTTATGGCAGCCCGGGAAGACAAACACAATGGATTTCTCTCTTTTTTTTTATTCTTTTCCATATAAATATATGTCCTTATAATTTTTATATCCTTCCATCCACTGCGGTGGGATGCATTTGTTATTCTTTGACTTCTTTAAATGCTCACCTAGGTGGCTGGGTGTCAGGCTTTCTTCTCTTTCTAGTAACTCCATTTAGGTACTTAATTTTCCCAGTTGATGTGTAACAGCTGCATTTCCATTCAAGTAAGAATATGAGTCACATTATCTTTTAAGTAAAAAAAAAACCGTTTTATCTTCATTTGTGATTTTCTTCTCTCGATCACTAGTTATGTAGAAGTGTATTGTTCTGTTTCTAAAGATACAGAGCTCATCTTTATCTTCTTCTGCAGAATTAGGTGACGTCTAAGGTCTCATGACATCCTGCTTGCTTACATAAGGTCCTCAGGCTCAGGTCAGTAGCTGAGTGTCCATCGGGGCAGCTCCTACGCCTTCTGGGGTCCCTGCATTTCCCCTCTCTGGAGTGTGAGGTCTGAGTCCCTCCTGGGCTAGTGGATGGCCAGAGAAGCATACCCGCTGGGCTCAACTTGGAGCTGGTCTGACGGGGGAGCAGTGGGTGCAGTTGTCTCTCGTTTGAGGGTTAAGTGATCCAGCTGGGCGTAGGTCACATCCTGGGCATCCTCAGATGGAGTGTCCTGGGGGGGGGGGGGTAGAGCAAGAGGCAGGTGGGTGATTGGGGTGGGGAGAAGCCAGGGCACTGGGAGCAGAAAGGACCCACGTGACTTCCCATCTACCTGTCCTCTCCCAGTTATCTGTCCTCTATATCTAGAAATTCCTCTGACAGGACGGAAGGCAGGGTGGCCACCCCCTGCCTGAGCCTGGAGTGATTCCCCGGGGGGTATTAACAAGCCTTTGCTGGGTGTCCTGGACAGGGCAGGGATCTTACCTGGCTGTTCATCTTTCTGTCCTCCTCAGGTTGGGATTCTCTTATGGAAGCATCTAAAGAATGAGGAGATTCTATCTCATGCAAGATTCCTGAAATCCCCCAATCCCACACTCTCCTTGAAATTTAGGTGGGAAGACTGAGGTTCCTTGAGGGGCGGGGATGTGCCGGGGACCACACATATTTGGGACTTACATGCTTCCTCACCCCTAAGCCCAGAAGCCTTCCCAAGCACTCCTCCTGCCCCGATGCCCCACAAAGACCTCACCTCCTCCAGAGTTACCGGTACACTGGTTCTTCTCCTGGACATCAGCCACGGAGCTGGAGCTGAGCAAGGAGGGCAGGAGCGTTAGACAGTGTGGAAGGAGCTACAGGTAGAGGTGGGAGGGGTTGGGGAAGAAATTACCTTTTCTGCAGTGCTCTGGTCTTCATTTCAAGGTTCAAAGCACCTGTACAACATTGGAAATTAGCTTCCAAACTAGCCCAGAACCCGGCCCCCGGGGCTCAGAGGCTGTGATCCCCACCTTGGTTCATTTGGAATTCAACATAAACCAAGTTAAAAGGTAGTGCCTCAAACTTGCATGGTTGTTTTAGGTAAAATTGTGTGAACCCGAAAAAACATGTTTACAGTCTAAGTCTGTTCTTATTACATCTCTGCTCTCTCATAGAGGATGGTATTTAGAAACCAAGATCTGGATGATCAGTGTGCTTATTTCTAGTGGGCTGTCACTATGTCTAGGTCTGAGCTAGTACACACAGTGCAAACACTATACCTCTAACTATTTCTATGTCACTAAATATATATATATATATATATATATATATATATATATATATATATATATATATATATATATATTACACACACACACACACACACACACACACAAACACACCCTGAGTGGCCAGATTATTATGATAACCTGACATTTGTAGGCAGGGGAGGGCAGTTGGGAGCAATCGGGCTGGCAGGGGAGCAGTTAGGTGTCAATCAGGCTGGCAGGGGAGTGCTTAGGGGGTGATCAGGCAGGCAGACAGGTGAGTGGTTAGGAGCCAGCAGTCCCGGATTGTCAGAGGGATGTTCGACTGCCGGTTTAAGCCCGATCCTCGGAGAGGGTGCAGGCTGGGCTGAGGGACACCCCCCCCCCACCCAATGCACAAATTTTGTAGGCAAATTAGTGGTGGTCATAAAAATCTGGCCACTCAGTATATATATAATTTGTAATTAGGTCACACTCTAACAGAATGAAAAGCGTATAATCTTTACGCAATATTGTACTAACCAGAATTAACTGTGCTAACCAATAAACAAACAAGTCTGTTGAAACAAAAACAGGAACAACCTTTTTTTTTCCGTAACAACCTCTATTTTAGCTTCTATTTTAGTACATTGCATCAGTTCCGGTTCCTGTTCAGATAGGAGCAGAGCGACTGATACTGAAAGAGTCAGCATGCTGCTACCAAGATCTTTGTTGGCACCAGCAAGAACACTGCCTACATGTCCCCACTTCCCTTCCCTCTTCTTTAAAAAGTCACCGACTTGACCAGAGATATTAAGATGGTTGGTTTTTTAGGACAGGAGTCTGCCAACTTCTCAGATCATCTTCACATGAATAAAACGTCTATCCTTTCCACCAGCACCTGTCTCACCTGCCTCAGCTTCCGTCACAGCAGGAAGCCAAACTTGTATTCAGTAACAATACTGACATCTTCAATTCCAATGAATGCCTCAGTTTTTCCTAGCCAACTGTCTTTGCACATTTTTAAATTCTTCACAGGCATTTCACCCCACACCTTTACGTGTTTTCTTTCTCAAAGCAATGAAACTCCCAACCACTTCAATGCCACCCCCATTCCTCACCACCATGCCCACTCCCCACTGCTCTCGACTGCAGGCTGACAAGGACACCTTCTCATGGCTCCCTCACCAGCATGGTCCCCCAGGTTCCGGGAGCACCCCTGCTACCTCCACGCAGGACCCCACCTGTCACGACTGTACTTACATGGAAATCCTCTCAGGTAGACAAGGTCTCCCCATCCTCTACTCACCTGACCTCCTGCGTTTGTTCCGATGCTTGAGGAGGAAGAAGAGGAGGAGGAGGAGGAAGAGCAGCAGGATGAAGGCCACAGAGACTCCGATCAGAATTCCATGGTAGTTTTGAAGACCTTGGACACAACGATGTCATGAATGAGCCAAGGATGCCACTTCATTGAGCACCTACTGTGCGTTAGGCACGTTTTGGGGGTCTGTGAATGAATCGCCTCTCACCCTCATAACAATCAAGCAACATGTGAATGCCAATCCCCCTTCCATTCATTTCACAAACGAGGAAACCAAGGCTCAGAGAGATAAATCGGATTGATTTCCTACTGCATGTGCCCGGCCAGGTAGGAGCCTGCAACTGAGGTAGAATTGAACTCAAGGCCCTTCAGTACGCAGGCCAAGACTCTATCCACTGAGTCAAACCAGATAGGGGTGAGCATGTCTTTTTAAAAAGAAAGAAAAAAAAAGGTTCTAAAATTAGATAGTGGTGATTATTAGATTGTACAACTCTGAATGCAATAAAAACCACTGAATTGTACATTAAAAAATAATAATAATAATTAAAAATAATAAAATCACCATCCCAGGGAGCACTGAGACCCCCGCCCCCGACAGTGGACCCCACCTGTTTGAGCATCATAAGCCAAGGATGGGGAGGTGAGAGCTGGCCCTGCCTTCTCCCCATTGAATCCCGGCTACTGCTCCCCTAAGCTGGGCCCCACATTTCCCTTGGCTTTGACTGCCCCACCAGCCTCAGTCCCCAGAACACCAGCTCATCCCTGAGTATGTGAGGGGCTGCTAGATCCTCTGAGAGGCTCTCTGAGTTGCCCTGGGTTGGTCTGTGCTCCCCCAAAGCAAAGAGGCCCCAGCGACTCACCATACTTGGAGGTGAGCTTTGGGGGTAGGGTGCTGGGGTCCACAGAGGGGCCTGGGAAAAAGACCAGAGAAGGTTGAGGGGTAGAGCATGTGTGAGGGGCTGCTAGATCCTCTGAGAGGCTCTCTAAGCTGCCCTGGGTTGGTCTGTGCTCCCCCAGAGCAAAGAGGCCCCAGCGACTCACCAGCCGTGGAGGGGAGCTTTGGGGGTAGGGTGCTGTGGTCCACAGAGGATCCTGGGAAAAAGACAAGAGAAGGTTGAGGGGTAGAGCGCCCCCCAACCCCATCCAGAGATGCTGTCTTTGTTCACACTTGTCTTCTGATCTTCCCTGTGGCCCTGGCAAGGTGCTCCCTCCCAAAACCTGGGGTCCCCTGGAGAATCTGGAGATACCGGCAGGGGCAGGGGCAGGGGCAGGAAGGGCGCATTGTGCTCCATCCATCCCTTTGAGGAGGGTGGATTCTCCTGTGGATGACCCTCCCCTGAAGCCCTCACTCCTGTCCTAGGTTGGGGACCTCCTGGGAAGGATCTTTAGCCAAACATAGGGACATGGAGGGGACAGGACTGGGGCTCCTTACCTAAGACCAGGAGCTCCAAGGAGTTACTGGGGTGTGACTGCACCAAGGGCCTGTTCCTGTAATAACCATAGCATCTGAACATCCACCTGCGGTTGGGGGTCACAGGGCCCACAGGGAACAGGGCCTGGAACCACCCACTGGGCTGTGGCTCTGAGTCCAAAGTCCAGGAGAGCCTGTGATCTCCGTTTTCAGTCAGAATGAACCTGCCAAATCCCTCCCATGAGCCACACTGGAGAGTCACGTTTCCTCCTGAGGTCACGACATGGCTGGGCAGGGCTGAGAGGCTGGGTGTGCTGAAGGATCCTAGGAGAGGAGAGGCAGTGTGTTAAATGGGCTCACACCACCCTCATGTCCCCCAGGGCTGGGCTGTGAGAGGGAGACACCCTGAGAGCAGACCCCCTTCCTGAGGGCAGAGCCTGAGGCTGGGACCCCTGAGAGTCCTCTCACCTATGGTCACCACCAGCTCCAGGGGGTCACTGCGCTCTGACCAGCCAGCAGGGCTGTGATAGTAACAGCGATATCTCCCAGCATCATGTTCTGTCAATTGTGTGATGGAGAACTTGGCCTTGTCTCTGGGATCCAGTGGCTTCTCTCTTTTCCATGGTGCTGGGCTTCCCTCTTTATCCAGACGGTACTCCTCAGCCCCTGGGGTCCCCTCACACCAGATGGTCACGGGGCTCCCCCGGGGGATCACAGGGGCTGGCTCAGCCCAGAGGGTGGGCTTGGGGAGGGGCCCTGGAAGGAAGCAGAGGCTGGGTCACAGGATATTCCCACCCCTGGTCCCAGCTCTCAGCCCTGAGCATTTCAGCTATCCTTCATCCATCAGCCTGGAATTGCTGTTCTCCACCGCCAACTTCTCCTGGGGTGGCCCCAAGTCCTCTATGAGGAGTGGGACCTGGGAACCTGGGGACAGACTCACCTGCCTGCACCGGGGTCCTGAGGCCCACACTCAGCCCTGGAAGAGAGTCCCTGTGAGAGATTTGCCCTGAACCCTGAGAAGCACCCTCCTCCCCATGAGGCTCCTGAGTCCTGGGGTCCTGACAGACCAGGGCTCCCCTCTCCCCTCCCATCTCACCGAGGCAGAGCAGGGCCCTGAGGGTGGGAGTCATGGCGTCTTCTCGATCTGGTCCCAAGTGTGTAGATGGAGCCCATGGCGCTGTAAGTACAGACACACAGGGTGTGGCCACTGAGAGGCTGGCCCTGCCGGTCTCATGGTTGTCACGGCGGCCACGTCAGCAGCCCCAAGGAAGGGGAACAACGTCTTCCTGGCAGCCTGGCTGTGGCTTCTATGATGAATCAGGAAACCAGAGCCTCCTGAGACGCCCCTTGCAGCTGAGGTGACCCAGGGCACGTCCTACCCTGTCAGAGCCTCCCCCACGGGGTCTCCTTCCTCCTCAGCCCGTCCATCAGCACCTCCCTGTCATCCTCACCATGGACAGTGCCACCCACCTCAGGAAGACATGGGTGCCTGGGGCCTGCAGATCTCAGATCAGCAGGGACACGCTCACCCTCCCACTGTGCAGCTCAGGGCGATGTCACCTGACAATGAGCTCAGAAGGGAATAAGGAAAGGAAATGTGATTCTTCTCCTGGGTGCATTTATCTTTTTTTGTGGGTGGGCATTGGACTAGCCTTTTTTTTGCAACAGCATCTACCCTGCCTTTCTGGGGAACAAGCCTGACTTCATTGCTACTCCTCCTGCCTCAGACAGCATTCTCTTCCTCATTCTGGGGTCCTGCATGTAACATTTAGGGGACTTTTTTGGGAGGTCAGAGGTTTATTTTTTGAGAAAAAGACGTCCTTTATGTAAATATTCACCTCCCATCCCCTGCCTGTGTGCCCTGGACAATAGCATCTTATCTATAGGGTGTGTCCCCCAAATACATACACACACTTTGGATAATTATGAAGGCGGCGCTGATTAACACACGTCCTCTCATTTTCAGGATTGAGCCATCCGCTGTTGCAGTGTGAGTGCTCTTGGGGGCAGACCCTGTGTTTGTGTCCTTGTTGGGGTCAGAGGGGTTGCTGGTGGCCTGGTTCCTGGCTCGTGGGAGGAAACCAGTCCCTGTTCACGTTCAGGCCAGGTGACGACGTGAGGGGGCCGTGGTGTCAGGCCCTGCGGTGAAGACAAATGCTCGTCGCAGCCACGCCAGCGCTCTTGTCTGCTTCACAGACCAATAAATGCCACTGATAATGTTTCTTGCTTTAAATATATTTTTATTGATTTCAGAGAGGGAGGGAGAGAGAGAGAAAAACATCCATGATGAGAGAGAATCATGGATCGGCTGCCTCCTGCAAGCCCCACACTGGAGATGGAGCCCACAACCCAGGCATGTGCCCTTGACCGGAATTGAACCAGAGTCTCCTAGTTCATAGGTCAATGCTCAACCACTGAGCCACGCTGGCGGGGCCACTGATAATATTTCTGAAATACAGGGTGTCCCGCCAAAATGCATGCACACTGTACCAGCTGATAGCTCCCTTTTGAAAGTGAAATGTATTTTAGCCCTAGCCAATTTGGCTCAGTGGATAGAGTGTCGGCTTGCAGAGGGAAGGGCCCTGGGTTCGAGTCTAGTCAAGGGCACATGCCTGGGTTGCGGGCTCGATCCCCAGTTGGGGGCGTGCAGGAGGCAGCCGATCCATGATTCTCTCTCATCATTGATGTTTCTATCTCTCTCTCTCTCCCTCTTCCTCTCTGAAATCAATAAAAATATATTTTTAGAAAGAAATGTATTTTAATAAACACTGCCTTCATCATGATTCTAAGTGTGTGTGTACGTTTGTGGGGGACACCCTCTTCATAGAAGTAGTCATTTTCAGGAAAAGAGAAATGAAAGTTCCCCAAACAGACAGGAAACCACAAGAAAGAACAGACAGTGAGCAGCAGCCGGTGCCCGGGACCAGCAGCTGGTTGTTGACGGAGTTTCCCACTCACGGGGACAGAGAGCGGGGCCCCAGATTCTCACAGGGAGAGGGGGGGGGGTCGGGGCCTCGGGGAAGGCCCCCCACTTGTGTTTGTGGGTGGGCACTGGGCTAGCTTTGCTCACTGACACCCCCTCCATGGTCAGCCCTGAGTCACCTCCCCCATGTGTGTGTGAGAAACAGACTGATTGCCGATTTTGTGTGACACGGGTGTGGGTCCCACAGGTGAGCAGAGACCAGCGCTCGCCATCCCCGCCTTGCCCAGCCCCGAGCAGGTGCTAGGTCTGAAAGGGTGGGTACCAAGGAGCGGGGGAGGCCGCAAGGATCCCCAACCCCATGCACGCTGTCAGCCTGACTCCCAGGTGAGTCCGGGAGAAGCCTGCGGAAGGTCTGGTGTGCGAGGGAACAGCCTGCCAACAAGTGTGACTGGTGGACCCTGTCCACCTCTCAGTGACCTTTGCCCTCTGCTTCCAGAGGGCCCTTGACGGGTGCTTCATTACCCCTGGATGCCCCGTGTGGTAAGCCAGTCATAGTGATCATGTGATCTCAGTTCCATGTGGGATCTCATGGGCAAAATAGACAGACAGACAAAATAGGTCCAGAGACATGGAAAGCAGGGGACAGAATGACAGATCTTGGGGGGGACGGGGTGGGCCAGTGGGGAGAGATTAACCCAAGAACTTACATGCACATATGCATAACCCGTGGACACAGACAACAGTGCAGTGAAGGCCTGGGCAGGGACAGGTGTGGGGTGGAGGGGGTCAATGGGGAGGAAAGGGGGGCATCTACAATACTTTCAATAATAAAGGGAAATTTTAAAAAAAATTTTAATCCTCACCTGAGGATATTTTTTCCATTGATTTCTAGAGTGGGAGGGAGGGAGGAGGGGGAGAGAGAGATGGGAGGGAGGGAGGAGGGGGGAGAGCATGCGTGAGAGAGAAACGTCGATGTGAGAAAGACACATCGATTGGTTGCCTCCTGCACTTGGTTGCCTCCTGCATGAGCCCTGACCGACCGGGGATCAAACGAACAACCCAGGTACATGCCCTGGCTCAGGAATCGAACCCGAGGCCCTTCAGTCCACAGACTGACGCTCTATCCACTGAGCCAAACCAGCTGGGGCATCATTGATGTGTCTATCTCTCTCTGTCTCCCTTTCTCTCTCTGAAACCAATATAAACATATAAAATATTTTTTAAAAAAGAAAGATAAAATAACATTACGTGTGTGTTTACTTATTTCCACATGTTCCTCTTTCTCTGTGAAAACCAGAAACCGACAAAAACAGTCACCTCCGGTTCATGGGGGCACAGGGTGAGGGGGACAGAAGGAACAGTCCAATCGGAACATGCCATCCTAGGCCATTTAACTTCTGAAACCTAAAGATAGTCTACAGAGTCCAAGACCCAGTTCCGTCAGAGATCATGGGAAAAGCAAAGTCTGACAAGAATGTGAACAAATGAAAATGCAGACAAGCTTATATTCAATCACCACAGCCACAGGGTAAAAAAAGAAAATGAAAGAAAGAAAGAAAAGAAGAGGCATCTATAGGAATTAGTTAGGAATTGGCTTTTCATATGAGAAATACAAACACAACATAAATGACCCTATGATGTTGCACTAGATGGGAGCTACCTGTGTGGACGGACACTGTGCATCCTCCCCGATACTAAGTGGTCCCCATGGAACAAAACCCCGGTAGCCCTGGGTTCGCCTACCCCCAGGCCTTGCTTCCTAAGTATTATTCCCACTAAAAGGACCCCAAGAACTAGGAGAGGAGGTGGTCTCCTGGTCCAGGGCAGGAGGGACACAGATAAGCGAGGAGAGGAGGTGGAGAGAAAAACATCGATTGGTTGCCTCCCACATGCACCCCAAATCGGGGATGGAACCTGCAAACCAGGAACGTGCCCTTGATGGACGGAGGGTATGAGGGTACGAGTGGAGGGACCCTGATAGGGGGACCTATAACCTGATAGATAGAGCGCCTGGATTAATCTGGAAAATAATCACAGTATTTTAAATCTTAGAAAACTTATACTTAGGTGAAGAGGGGGTTCAGTTTTTCTTAAGTTTCCTTTCCAAGGCCTGTGCAAAGCGATGGGGGAGGTGAC